TAAACTACAGCAAAAGCAACACTTGGGTAGCAACAACCACCATCAAGAAACCCGTGGTACAATCGGGGGTGTCGTAATGCTACTGAGTTGGAAAATACAGCCTGTAGGGCACCCTGCAAACAGTAGCAAAACGCAAGGAAGAAGATGAAGATGAGAAACGTGCTATCAGAAAAAAGAAGAAAGAACAAGAAAAACTTGAGCGTGAGTAAATCGAGATGTACAGGAGTCAGAATGAAGTCCGGAAATTTTACCAACGAATAAAACACCAATCCAAAGGCTTTGGTGCGGGTACATCCTCCTGATGGAATGAAGAAGGAAACCTGGTGACAGATACAGACGTCGTGTTGAGAATCGGGAAGGAGCAGTTTGTAAAGCTTCTGGTATCAAATAGTCACCGAGAAGAAGAAGAAGATACCGCAGAACCAATAAGAGATGACGGTATATATTGTATACAACGTAGCCAAGATGAGGTCCGAGAAGGTGCCGATGCATTACACAGCCGAACAATTCAAGATCGGTGGTCAGGAGCATGCACCAGTTGATTAGAGCAATTTGGCTAGAGGAATGCATGCACAATGATTGGAACCTCAGCATCCCGTGTTCCGTGCACAAAAAATGAGACAAGACGATATTTGGCAACTACAGAGGAATAAGTCTCCTTCCCATCGCATATAAAGTGCTACCCAGCGCGCTGTGTGAACGACTGAAGCCAAAGATCAATGACATTATCGGATAACTTTAACTGACACAAAGTCAACTGTTAAAGTCGGAAAGGACCTCTCGGAGCCCTTCAATACCGTACGAGGATTGAGACAAGGTGACAGTTTGTCGTGTGACCTGTTTAACATCCTGCTGGAAAAGGCCAAACGAGATGCAAATGTGAACAGAAATGGCACTCTGTACACCACTCTGTACTCGCCTACGCTGACGACATCGACATAATGGGTCGAACATCGGAAGCGGTAACTGCCACCTTCTGGCAGAAAATGGCGAGGAGACCAAGCTGATGGTATCAACGCGCAAGACGTTCAATAGACTCGGACCAACTGAAGGATAGTGTTTGCCAATAGATGTTACTATGGTTGGACTAAGTAAGCAATTTAGACACAAGGTCACCTTGCGCCAGACCAAGCTCACACTCTACAAGCCGCTGATACTACGCGTGCTGTTATATTGATCTGAAGCATGGGTACTTACGCAAACAGATGTGTGAGGCAGCTCTTGGAGTGTTTGAGAGAAAATTTTTCTAGAAGATCTATGGGCCGATCTGCCGGTGAATATCGTCGTAGAATGAACCATGAGCTATCTATTGTCAGATATCGACATAGTCAGGCGACTACGTTGGCTAAGTCATGTTGTGAGAATGGATGAGGATTCCCCCACTCAAAAGACTTATAAAAGCGATCCAAGTGATGTTTCACACAGAAGGGGAAGGCTATGATTCCGATGAAATGGTCAAGTAGAAGACAACATCTCGAAACATGGACTTTCAAAATTGGATGAGTTGCGCACAGGACCGACGCGCTTAGAAATAGTTTTTCAAGCTCGGCTTATGGAACAACCGTTCTGTTATAAGCCAGATAAGTAAGTAAGATGAACCCCCTTTGATCTTCGCTGAAAGATAGCTATTTGATTATTATGATTTTTCTGTGGAAGAATGGCCTTCACTTTTCGGTATTTCGATGATACAACTGGAGTGGTTGTAATTTGGAATTTCGCGTTTTTGGTTGGTAAAAAACAATTTTAAATTAGATCGGGTTTTGTATAACTCCCGTCTTCGACTAACTGAATTGATCTAGGCATGTGTGGCCATTATAATTTGAAATCGAAATAATAATTTGTAATGCATAATGACGAAATATGAGATTCATCGTTCCACTCCTTCTAGTACCCTCCACATTTTGAAAACTTGTCCATTTCATATGAAGCAAATAGAATGTCAAATTTCATCGAAACTTTGCACAGTGTAGTATTTTAACCAAACCTAGATTAAGTCCGAAGATGGGAACCGTCGTTCCACTCTCTTTGTTATTCCCAATAATAATAGTAATAATACTGTGACCGTAGACCTTAGCGATGAGGAATTACAGACCGATATATACGGAGTATATATATATATCTGTCGGCAACGCCCAATGAAACTTTGTTACTTGTTTGTTTTGTATATGAAATAAATTTCCGTTACACCCCACGTACGCTTGGTAGCAATTTGATGTTTTTGATTTTGATTGATAACATTGTCTCTGTTGGGCATGCGCAACCGGCATTTTATTAAAATACCAAACAAACTGTTACTACAAATATACAAGAGGGCTAACAGAGAAAGGAGATGTCGTTTTTCCCATTAGGGAGAAAAAGAGAATAGTGGATAGCTACAATGTAACTAACAGCTGAGAACTAAACCACTGTTAACTCTACAAATGCAGCTCTCAGACCTATCAGACACCTGTCGAAAAGAATGAAACACTGTTATGTGGAATTCTGTTAACTTGGCTATATTTTGGTTTTCGATTTTGGCACTGTCATGTTGACTTCAGCATTTTCCACATTGGCGGCTAAGCGCTGATTTTTGTTTGACGATCTACATCAAATTTTTGGTTTTTACAAATTTATGGTGATGGCGTGAGAGAGCGGTTTTGTGCTAGCCACAATGACGAGTTGTAATATCTACTAAGTTTTGTTTTCTACTTCTTTATGTTGTTGTTGTTTTTCTTTTTTGAAATGTGTGTTTTTGTGCTTTTTGTCAATATTTTGAAATTCTTTTGGTTAGTCGGTGGTTTTTTTGTTTTTGTTGTCTTTTCGGGAGATTTTTAGCCAACTATTGACGTTTTTGGTCTGTGTGTTATGTTGTTGTTCGGTGCTAAATGTTTTTGTCTATATGACCAAGCGACTGATCGACTGTCGGTCTAGCTTAGATTGTTACTCTATAGCTAGCCATCACTCACAGTAATGTTGGAATAATAGCACAGACCAAGACGACAACGACGACGACGACGTTAGTCTTAACTTTGTTAGTATTCTTCTCGCTCAGAGCTCAGACTTTGTTGTTGGCTCTGGCTTAGCAGTATGATGTTCGAATAAGTCGCGCTGGGTTTCGAGTTTGGATTTTGAATGTTTTGTTGTGGGTTTTTTGCCTTAACGCGCGCGCACTTTGCATGAATAATTCAAATGAAAAAAAATTATTGCTTCTTTCGCTTGAACCGTTTCAAGCCAACATTTAGACATTCACAGCATTTAGTTCGAATTGAAATTCGCATCTAAGCGGTTGTAGCGACTCGGAAAAACGGTTTTGAGTGAACAAAAAAAGAATCGTTTCTAAAGGAAACAATAAAGAATTGCAAGATTTTTTTAAGAAAGTGACGGTGTGTTGAAAAAATATAATTTGAATTTTTAATAAAAAATATTAAAAAAAAAATAAATTTTAATAATAAAAAAACAATTTTTAAAAATAAAAAATAAAAAACAATATTAAAAACAAAAAATAATAAAAAACAATATTAAAAACAAAAAGGAAATGTACATATAAAAGAAAATATTTAAAAAAAAAATAATTAAAATATTACCAAACCGAAATTTTTTTAAAAGTGAACATAATTTTTAATTTAAAAAACAATAAAAAAAAATTTAAAGAGTGAAAATACCGACCAGGATAACCAAAATGAGACCGAAATTAATTTATAAAGAAAATGTTTTTTTTTAATAAATAGACATTGGGACATCAAAAAACAAATAAAGAATATTCGTTAATATATATTTTTATATATATAATATTTTATAAAAAGATATTAGCTTATAAAAAAATAAATGGGATTTTAAAAACAAATAAAGAATATTAGTTAATATATATGTTTTATATATACAATATTTTATAAAAAGATAATAGCTTATAAAATATTCGAATAATTTATTTTGATATATATTCGGTCCCTCTAATACAGTTTTGCTTTGATGATCTGAAAATTTTCAGATCATATATATGTGTTCGCTTAATAAATTAATAATTTTGGCTTTAGATAGTAAATTTGACTTTTTACAAATAATAATATAAAAAAGGACTAATTCAATTTGCATCAAACAAATTTGATTAAAGTCCACCATTTTGAGGCAAGATTTTAATGTACATAATAAGTTTACAACAATATGTGATGATCGGCACAATAATTTTCAAACTACTGTGGGTACTGGCTTCAAAAATGTGTATAAAGTTGTTATCTCTCCCCAGCGATTTCTAGACCTTAAATATTCATACTTTAGCCAATTTGAATCCGACCTACAAATATATTGGTCATAAACTACTTCTTTATTGTCTTGCAGAATATCGCAATTCTCTCGATAGGAAATTTATATATTCAGGCTCAACCTCAACACCTTATATAGTTAAAAAAATCCTTTCCTTTTCCATATTCTATCGGCCGTTGCATCTCCTTGGTTAGATTTTTTCCACGTTTTTCTCTACATTTATCGTTATAAAACAAATTTTCGAAGTGACCCAGAAAAACCAAAGATATTTTTGGGTTCCAGGGACTCCAACTAAACAGAATTGTTAAATTAGAATCCCTGAATAAATCTTTTTGTTGTTTTGTAGCACAGTGTAATTTTAGAAGTTATTCAGCGATTGACATATTTATTTTTTTTCTAATTCATTGTAAAAAACACAACACATGAGCACAAAACACACAACATGAGAATCATCTCGAGAAGATTTGTATTGAATGTCTTGATGTTTTTTGGTAGGAAAAATTTCCACCATTTATAACTCAATTCGGTGTTCATTATCAAAGAACCCAGGAGTAGTAGCAAGTTACGAACTTTATCAAGTTTTGAAAATACACACGTAGATCTAGACGTTTTTAAATTGACATATTATTTTATTCTGATCAAGAATATATATACCTTATAGGGTATCTGAGGTTTTAGACTTAGACAGCCTCTTTTCTGAAACGGTTCGATATTCTTCGGCTCGCAAATGGAACTCGGTCATTTTCACAATTCCTTTTCAGATCACTCGTTCATTTGTACATATCAATTAAATTGTTCAATGAACGGGAAGATCTAGATGAACAATTGGATCAAAAGAAAATAGATGAACGACCTCAGCAAAAGGAACTAAATGAACGAAAGTAGCGGACCTAGTACCGATCGTTCCTTATGTAGAATAGTGTCGTTGAACAGCATAGTTCGTTTCGGAACGACTTAACTTTACTAATTTTGGAATAATTAAAGTGTTGCTTAAGAACTATGTACGATCGAGTGGCTCTATCTAGTTCAGTAAGTTGATCGCTCTTTTAAGGTCGGCTCTTTTGAGTGAACTAGTTCAATCGTTCGCAATTACGCTATTTTAGTTTGGTCGATCCTTTATTAGTTCATTAGAGTTGTATTTTCTAGTTCATTAAGAACATCACTCTTTTTAGTTCAGCTCTCAAGAATGAACTAGTTCGTTCTTTTAGTTCAGTAGTTCAATAGTTCGTCGCTACAGAAATACGATTGTGGATCATATACTGAACGATTCTTTGGTATTTAGTTCGTGAATATCAGGCGTAAATGAATGCAAATTAATATTTTAAAAAATATACATTGGAATTTTGTTCAGAAAAATACATTTATAAATAGATAGATCATAGTATAAATTTGAATTTTTTTAAATGTTATTTCTATATTTTTTTTAATATTTGTAAGCAATTTTTCATTGCCTTAAGTTTAGGTCAAGGCAAACGTTGAGATAGTTCGCATAGCTAAAAAATAACAAATGAACTATGAAGAACGAATTTGACTGAACTAGTTCTCTTGCTCTTTTAACTGAATCGTTCTTCTGAACTAATACGTTCGCGAACTATTCATCTTTACAGTTCATCGCTACCCGAATCGTTCAGTTAGCGTTCTTGGAAGTGTATGATGTGCGAACAAAAACAAATTTCTTTATGTTTTGTTTTATTGGAATATCACTTACTTAAGAAATTAAAAGATAAACCTGAAATTATGGACCTATCAACATAATTTTTTATATGGGTTTACTAAATTCATGTAAACTGCTCACATTAGTTATTTTATTGAACTAAAAAGAACGACTTTGTAAAACCTAGTTGAGTTTATCTTTTTATGTTCATTTGAACTAGTTCGATACTGTACAGCTCTAATGTACGATAAAATAACTATAATTAATAGAGTGGAGATCCCAATTTATTTATCTCGCAAGGGGCAGCAAATGTATGCAGATGTCGGTAGAATCTTGACTGCATCCCATAATTTAATTCAAACATACCACATGGCAAAGAAAATATCCAACATATGTCCTCATTAAGAATCTCCTTCTATAAGAATACGATGTTATCTCAAGTGGACTGTAAGCAAAAATATATCCTTCTTAAATTAAATTATCTCACCTTAACACAAGAAACCCATAGCAAAACATGTTCCATATTTATTATTAGTAAATATATGTGAACAACCGTTTTGGGCATACTATGAGATTATTAGAGTTGCATCGTTCCGAAACGAACTAGTTCAATGTAACTATTCCACAAAAGGAACGAAGCGTATTAGGTCCACTTCGTTCATTTATCTAGTTTCATTTTGCACTCGTTTGACTAATTCCTTTTGATCCACTAATCGTTCATTTTGATCTTTCCGTTAACTGAGGTGTATCATTACATGAGTGAACTAAATGGAACTATGTAACTAAATGAATGATCTAGTTCCTTTTGCAGAGTAAATCGGGGAAGATCGAACTAGATTGTCCAATTCTAGAGATTATACTATATACCCTGACATTCTGAGAACAGTTGACTCCTTTCACTCATATAGCAATGTGGAGTCAAGATATAGGTCTGGGGTACATACTAAATAATAGATTTTAAAATGGGAACATTTAGAATCCCATCAAAATAGTTTACGTTTAGTTACATTTTTAAATCGGGGAAGATCGAACTATATTGTGCAACTCTAGAGATTTTACAACAAATCCCTACAATTTGAGAACAACAGACTTCTTTCACTCATATAGCAATGTGGAGTCATAATAAATCCGGTGGACATTATAAATAATAGATTTTAAATTGAGATCACTTAGAATCCCATCAAAATAGTTCACTTTTTGGTCAAATTTTTAAATCCAAAGACTTTTTTATTCCTTTGATTAAATGATATAAAGGTTTTGGTTCAAATAAACCTTCGTAACATTATTACTTTAATAAAACGCGCTCTGAAGTTTTTAATTTCCGGTATAAGCAATAATGTGACAAAAAACCGGCGACTTTTAATAAAAATTTAATTTGAATGGGCATTTAAACAAAAAAAAAACTATTTTCCCACTCTACAATTAATAACAATTGTGTTAACAATAACAGAAACAATCGAAATTAACGCCTTAGCAAAACGCCTACTTTGCAATAAAATACAAACAACAAAAAATGACCCAGATTTTAATTACATAATTTCTTCTCTTTACAGCTAAAACAACAAAAAACAAAATAATTACGAATAAACCGGACATTTAATGTTATAACGAAAAAAGAAAAAAAATAAAAAAACTGATATGCAAATTAACAAAATTAAACGAATGTAACAAGTGAACAAATTAAAAACAAAATCAAAGTGACTAAAAACAAAAACAAATTATAAAACACAATTAACAAAAAATTAAAAACCAAAATACAAAGAACTACTAATTAAAAATGCGTAACAAGGGTACTACCCTAATATTCCTGCTGCTGGCAGTGTTTAGTTGTCATGAGCGTGTGGCTCACTCTCTGGATGCAGCAAATCATGCTGCCGCTGCAGCAACATGTAGCCTCAAGGATAATTGTGACCTTGATGATCAGCTGCTGTCTGTGGGTGGTGATAAGCAGGTCGGTGATTCTGCCAAGCACTTAGAGGGTAAAATTGCTTCGGTATTTGAAGATAAAGTCAATTATAGTATGCAAATTTTTGCGGAGGAAACCATTTTGGAATATAACGCCTTGGAGGGTACCAACATTAGTGCAGCAACATTAACCAATTTTACCCTCAAGGAGCTGGAACAACAAATTAAATTGATCAAAGCCAAGGAAGATGATGCGGAGGAGGATGATGTTGTCGAAAGTGAAAAGGGTAAGTAAATTCAAGTACTCATTATTATTATTTGTTTGAGTGATTATTATTCGTGATCTCTTTCTCGTAACATTAAATATCAATTACAAATGTCGAATTCGATTCGCACAGCAATTCAAATAATAAATGCCACTTAACCACATCAAATTGAGCTTGCCACCACAGAAACAAAAAATATAATTATGTTATGTTAGGCTGTAGCATTTTGAATAATGTGAAGTTGTAATGTGATATAATATTGATTATATAAAAAAGGTAAACAAAAAAAAGACAATTGGTGGTTAAGACGAACATATGATTCAGTATATATATATATATATATATAAATGACAATATATGGCGATTTCTGCTTTCACATTTAGTACACAATTTTTTTTTTCTTGTTAATTATTTTGGGAGCAAATATTTTCCATAAAGCATCGCCGTATTTTTCAATTAGCCCAGCATTAGCCTGTCCTAGATGATGGGGCTGTCAACTATCCTTGCCTAGAAACAACGACTCCTTGAATTTTGTGTAGTGGTTGTGATCCTTGCTTATTAATTTTCTCCTTGCTTATTTAGTGCTACCACTTTTATCTGCGGGGCGCTATTTCCTGCTATATTTTTTGTGTTATTCCTATGTAATGATTTGATAACGAGTTTAGTCATTAGAATGTCATGGGATAACTTAATTCAGATAAGCAGCCGATTAGTATGCCTTAGCATGACCTAAGTGATGGGACTGACATCTATTGTTGCCTAGAAACAGTTCATCCTTAAATTTGGGACTTGGTGTCCTCGCTTTGTATTGCCATTTTTCACTAGATTACATCTCATAATCTAGTTCAAACTCAATGGAAAAATTCTACCTCACGTTGTTTTCACCATGTCTTATATATCTTCAAAGCGTATACACAAATAGATCCATGTTTAACTATATTCTCTCTCCTACACAAGCGATACTCAGCAAGACCTTCACTATGTACATGATGTTACTTGGTGTCAACAGCACCAAGTAGGTAGACGTTTACGCTTCTCGACCACATTAGTATGTAATTCGCATTCACTTCGAAAAACACAGCCTTAAGTATTGCGATGTCCGTGAAGATAAATTTAAAATTTAACTAGCAAAGACACAAACCACCAAACTTTTTCACTGGTTCACATAGGGTTAAGACAGAGAGAGTGAGAGAATGCGAAATTGCAGAACTAAATCGAGAGAGAGAGAAAGTGTGAGCGTAACTGAGAATGTGCCACAATTTGCAGAACAGAATTGTGCGCAGTATGTGAGCGTATATGACAATGCGCCACCAATTTGCAGAACTAAATTGCGGCCGGCCTTATGCAAATTTCATATAAAATACCCCATTGTAAAAAAATGAAGAAGGGTTCGGGGTTGAGGGGGGGCTCAAACGAAAGGCCTAAGAGTGTACTTTCAGAATATGTGGACCATATAGGCAAAAAGAATTTCGGAGATGGGAATTATTCCGATTTTCTGAAAATGTTTAGGTTGACTTTAGGAAAATTTCCGATAAAATTGGCCACTGTAAAAAAATGAAGAAGGGTTCGAGGTTGAGGGGGGGCTCAAACGAAAGGTCTAAGAGTGTACTTTCAGAATATGTGGACCATATAGGCAAAAAGAGTTTCGGAGATGGGAATTTTTCCGATTTTCTGAAAATGTTTAGGGTGACTTTAGGAAAATTTCCGATAAAATGGGCCACTGTAAAAAAATGAAGAAGGGTTCGGGGTTGAGGGGGGGCTCAAACGAAAGGCCTAAGAGTGTACTTTCGGAATATGTGGACCATTTAGGCAAACAGAGTTTCGGAGATGGCAATTTTTCCGATTTTCTGAAAATGTTTAGGGTGACTTTAGGAAAATTTCCGATAAAATGGGCCACTGTAAAAAAATGAAGAAGGGTTCGGGGTTGAGGGGGGCTCAAACGAAAGGTCTAAGAGTGTACTTTCAGAATATGTGGACCATATAGGCAAAAAGAGTTTCGGAGATGGGAATTTTTCCGATTTTCTGAAAATGTTTAGGGTGACTTTAGGAAAATTTCCGAT